CCAGCTCTGGTGTATATGGCTAGCGCCTTAGCTGCCTGAGCCTTGGGCACCGAGCCCAGGTACTTTTCTTAGCAAATTTTCTGTGTTGTGAGAAAAGCAACAAGTCCTGGCTCTCCATTACTTTGTTTCATGTCCTTGTGCAAATCATTTCATTTCCTAAAAGCTCATTTCCTCTGTAAAATGAAGAAGATGGTTGGGATGGCCCCTTCTACTTCTAAAATTCTTCGTTCTGAGGTTTATTTCAAAGCCTTTTAGTAGAGTGGCTGATTCAAATGAGGAAGACATGTATTATGTTCAGAAATGTATGCAAATATTCTAAATGGGAAAAAAGCAAAATGTGGGAGATTATGTATTATATCATTTGTGTGAAGAGGAGAAAAAAGAAGACGTATATGAGATAGATGCTTGTAAATGAGTAAGATATCTCCAGAGAATTACACCATAATGCAGAAGTACAGGTTGTACACAGGAGCGTGGGAGATGGGGCAGGACTGGAAGGAAGCCTTCCTTTTCATAGAATACCCTTTTTTTCCTTCTGAATTTTATATGATTCATCATGTATCATCTATTCCACAATAACTTTAATAAAAACAGTTTAAAAGAAAAAGCTATAGGAATTATTCCTTTGAGTAATTATTTTGTACAAATATTTGTCATTATCATAATGTTAATTTACCTATAGAAGGGGAGAATACACTGTTAATTTCTATGTATAACTATAATAATTACAATTTAAAAATTACCACTTGCTAAAGAAAGAATGACTGATGTATACAACAGCTTGGATGAATCCTCAAAACATAATGTTGAGTGAAAGAAGTCAGATAAGAAAGAGTACAGACTACGTGATTCTGTGTATATGAAGTTATGCAAAACTGATCTGTGGTAACAGAAGCCAGAGGAGTTCAGAATTGCATGGTGGTTACCTCTTTTGGGTAATATCAACTAAGGAGAGGAAATCTTTTGGGATTGGATGATGGAAATGCTGTATGTATATAGTATGTTTAGCTAAGTGGAGGGTACACACACACATGTGTGTGTACATACAAAACAAATTGTACACTTAAGATATGTGCATTTTACAGTATATAAATCATGCCTTAGTAATCAGAAAGTTTTAAAATAATTATATAATGATCTATTTGATAAAGGTCTTAATGGACTGTAAATAGCCATAAAAGGAATTATATCTCATCTTGACTTTAAATTGAAAAAGTTTAGAGAAAAGGAAAGAAATTTTTGGGTTTTTTTTTGAGACAGAGTCTTACTATGTAACCCTCAGTAGAGTGCTGTGGCGTCACAGCTCATAGCAACCTCAAACTCTCGGGCTTAAGTGATTCTCTTGCCTCAGCCTCACAAGTAGCTGGAACTACAGGTACCTGCCACAACACCCAGCTATTTTTTTATTGCAGTTGTCATTATTGTGTAGCAGGCCCAGGCCGAATTCTAACCCACCAACCTTGGTGTATGTCACTGGCGCCATATCATAACCACTGTGCGACGGGCGCTAAGCCAGAATTTTTTTTTTTTTAATTATCAAATTATCTTTTAGGAAAATGATTATTATCTTAGTATTTATTTAACCTAAGGTAGATAAAAATATGCTGTAGTATTTTTTTTATGCTGTAGTTTTTTTTTTTAATTAGGAAAATAAAAAGATATATATCTGTGGTAGCAACTTATTCAGGATTGAAAGTAAGATGTTTTACAAAAGTAATTTTAAAGATAAGTCAGATATAAGAGGTCTTTGCGTTCTTGCAGTTTTTAAAGAGAGAATGGAAACCCACATGTACCCTTAGTAGGAACCTGTCTGGGTGACTATGAGTGGTGGATGGAGGACCAACCCTAAGGGGTAGATAGGGGCTACACCCCAGGGTCTAGCAGTTTCCAGCTTTGGGAAATTGAGTAATTATCTTAATTTTCCAAATTAAGAGCCTTATTTTTAAATTAGATTTTTGCAAGTCTTTTTAAAATGTTGATGTTATATTTTAGAATGCATTAATACAATTATCTTCTTAAACAGAGAATAGTTAATTGTTAGTGACTATAATACATGTGTAGCTATTATTTATTATTATACTGTAGCTTTCAGTTTCACAGCTTTTCTTTTTTCTCTTCTCAAATCAAAATCTTCTCTTTATTCTAGACTTTTAATATTTGTTCCTCACCCTATGCCTTTAGTCTACCTTCCTTTTGGTTCACTGCTTAAGCTAATCAGCTGTGGACTGGACCAGAAGACTAATATTGTATATTAAATGAGAATCATTATATTCACAGATGGGCACCCCAAGTTAAAGTTATTTCTAGAGGATCTGAGCATTATTTCAAGCTTCTCCATTTACTTCTGGTTTGAACAGTGCTTAGAAAATTATGCTTTCTGAAAGTCTATTTCCCAGACATACTCTGTATTAACTGTAGATAATCAGTTGGCCTTGGCCTGTGTTAATTACAGTATACCTTGAGAAGGAACTGTTATAAAGTAAAGGTACTGACACATTCCTTTTAAGATAGCTTATTCTTGTCTGCTTTTCCAGTTTATGAATTAATCAGATTCCTAACTTTATTTTATGTAACTGTCATTGTGTTACCAATTTATAGTTTCTGAAGTGTTAGAGAAAATGGTCCCTACCAAAAAATAAATAAAGCAGGAGATTAAACCAATGGTTATATAGGATATTTGGATTATCTGTATTGCAGTTAGGAAGCTACTTTCTATGGATTAATGCTTTTGAGAGGTTAATTGATCCCTGCATGGAATTGTGTTTTCACTTTGGTATACAGAAATAAGGGTGAGTTGAAAATAGGGCTGGCTGACTTTAGATTTATTTACCAATTATTTTATAATATGCTTGCTTTAATGGATTTGTTTGAAAGTATGTGCCTGAAAATGAGGCTTAAGCTGGCTATTTTCTGTTGATATAGGCTTACTGGAGAAATCAAGCATCATTTACTCAAATTCAGCAGAATCATTTCTTCCTGGAATTTGCAAAGAACTGATTGGTTCATCATTAGATTTTCTTGGACAGAGTTATGATGAAGAAAAAACTATAGCAGATAGCCTGATGAATAATTTTCTTAAAATTTATAATGGACTATTTGCCATTTCCAAAGCTCATGAAGAACAAGATGAAGAAAGCCAAGATAACTGTAAGCAATCCCACTGCTTTTAACTCACATCAATAGTCATTTTCCACACATTACACTTTGTTTTCAATGATTATTTGGCACATGTGGCATAAATCTTTTGATCATGTTAAATGTTTAATGGTGATCATATGTGAGTTCTTTAATTTGGATATTATTTCTTCCAATAATTTTCCTTCTTCTTTCAAGTATTTTCTTCTGATCGAGCCACCCAGTTGCTTACTGTCCAGATTGCATCTGCTTTCGAGCAGCTTGTGGTGCTAATCAAACATTGGCTGAGTGACTTTCTACCTTGTACCAGCACAGCAAAACTTGAGGATGAATTGAGACAAGAAGTTAAAAAACTGGGAGGCTACTTACAGTTATTTTTGCAGGTAAATTGATTTGCTTACTGTCATATGAATAATTCATATTTTGGTATTTATTGACTTTGTACTTGTCTGCATCTTCCTCAAAATTAGATCTGTAAGATTTTCAAAGGTGCTGTTTTGAAGACTGTGGATGTCTATAATTGGTTTATTGAACCAAGACACATGGCTCTCTTTGTACCAGTGGTTCCAAGCGATTGAAAAATGTAAACTCATTTAATACTAATAACAACTATTGTTATTATTCTATAGATGAGGAATAGATGAGGAAAAGGAGGCACAGGAAAGATAAGTACCCCATCCAATGTTACATAACTACTAAATGATAGAGTTGGATTTGAACTCGGGCAGTCATGGTCCAGAGTTCATGCTCTCATGACACTGTGCTGGCCCTCAATAAAGGGGTTTTGGGAAGAGCGGCAGAGTCTTGCTCTGATTACATATAGATTGTGTTTCAGCTCATGCTGAATTAGTTACAAGCTTGTTGACATAGTGAGAAGGAAAGTAATTTTGTTTACCTGCTTATATTAGGGTAGGTTATAGATTAAGTTTGGCTATAAGGAAGAAGTAAGATATAAGCTTATTTTCTCTCACCTAAAATCTGGGGGTAGATGTGCTCACTCTTCTCTACACAGTCCTCAGCCTCCAGGTTCCTTCTAGCCCTTCCCTCTGCAGTGCCCAAAGTGTGGCCCCTGATTTCTTGGTCTACCATAATAGAGCCCATCTGAGATCAATGCAGCAGAGTGAAAGAAATGACAAAAAAGAAAAGGGATGTGCCTTCTTTTAAGAGACATTTCTGGTAATCACCATATGACACTTCTATTTATGTATCTTTAGCCAGAACATCATCTGACCACATCTAGCTTCAAGTATCATGGGAAAATACATTTTTTAAATTTTGGACACTTTTATGCCAAGCTAAAAATCAACAGATCTATTAATGGAGGAAAGGTTGAAATGGTATTGGAGAATACCTAGTTGTCTGTCATATCAGCAAATTCCTCCATAAGAGTCCTTGGATATATAAGGGAAACATAAGAAAATACCAAGAGGGTTAGGTTTCACTTTTAAAAATGGTAATTAGGGCCAGGTGCAGTGGCTCATACCTGTAATCTTAGCACTCTGGGAGGCCGAGGTGGGAAGATCTTCTGAGTCAGGAGTTTGAGGCTAGCCTGAGCAACAGCGTGACCCTGTCTCTACTAAAAATAGGGAAAAGTAGCCAGGTATTTTGGTGGGCACCTGTAGTCCCAGCTGCTTGGGAGGCTGTGGTAAGAGGATTGTTCAAACTAGGAGTTTAAGGTTGCTGTGAGCTTTGATGATGCCATAACACTCCAGCAACAGAGTAAGACTCTGTCTCCAAAAAAAAAAAAAAAATTAGACTTCATAACAAAATATTCTAGACTATCTAGACAAATCTTATGCTATAGTGCCTACCGAGACTTTCCACATTCCGCTATTGTAGTAGAATTTTTGTGTGTCAAATACTTACTGAATGAGGTATCTACTAGCTGAGATTTAGAAATATTTAATTGGCTATTCTTTCTATTACAACTGAAATAAAAATATTTTTTAATGTACATTGTTTTCCCTTAAGAGGTCTTTTTGATCTCCCCAAAACTTGGTTAAACACGTCTCTTATTTGCTTCTCTGGTAACTCTGATAACTCTAGACTTTACCCATTATGCCTTTTTTTTTTTTTTTTGACAGAGTCTTACTCTGTTGCTGGAGTGTTATGGTATCATCATAGCTCACAGCAACCTCAAACTCTTGGGCTCAAGAGATCCTCTTGCCTCAGCCTCCTGAGCAGCTGGGACTACAGGTGCCCACCACAATATCTGGCTAACTTTCTCTGTTTTTAGTAGAGATGGGGGTCTCACTCTTGTTCAGACTAGTCTCGTACTCCTGAGCCCAAGCAATCCTCCTGCCTCAGCTTCCCAGAGTTTTTGGATTACAGACATGAGCCACCACACCTACCGGCTATGCCTCTTAATATATCATATTATTTACAAGCTGTTCACCTGAAAGGGTGGTAAGCTCTGAGAAGGTAGAGGGATCGTGGGTGTCATTTTTTCCTCAAGGTCGCATCATATGATAGATTATAAATTCACATTGGATAAGGGATGGCTTTGGACATAGATATTAAGGAAACAGAATTCTAAGAGGGAAGATCTCCAAATAGGTGTGGGTGAAGTAACAGTGAAGGAGAAGCTCTGACAGGATAGAATAGTGAAAATGAAAGGTAGGACTGGCCAGAGGGCAAAGTCAGAGAACTAGAAGCTGACTTAGGCTTGAGCACAGAGAAGGGAGCTAGTTGGAGAGTCATCTGTGGTAGAGACAAGAGACTCTCAGATTTTAGAGTCAGTGGAAGAATAATAGGAGAAAAAACACAGGCAAAAAGAACAACAAAACCCAGAGGCACCTGTGGCTCAGTGAGTAGGGCTCTCGCCCCATATACCGAGGGTGGTGGGTTCAAACCCGACCCCGGCCAAACTGCAACAAAAAAAAAATAGTGGTGCATTGTGGCAGGCGCCTGTAGTCCCAGCTACTTGGGAGGCTGAAGCAAGAGAATTGCCTAAGCCCAAGAGCTGGAAGTTGCTCTGAGCTGTGATGCTACAGCACTCTACCGAGGGCAACATAGTAAGACTCTTGTCTCTAAAAAAAAAATAAAAAAAACACCCCAGTATTTGCATTTGAAAATCTAATGTTTGAATGTGTGCTAAATTAGTTGTTTGTCCTTGAACAAATGCTTAACTCTTTGAGTCTCCTGTTTTCTCACCTGAAAGATAAAAATAGTAATGTCTACCTGCAGTGAGGATTAGATAAATTAACATCATAAGGAAATACCTCTTAGGGGTAGATTGCTTGAGCTCCTAAGTTCAAGACTAGTCAGAGCAAAACAGCAAGACCTGTCTCTACTAAAAATGGAAAAACTTGAGCCTGAGTTAGAGCTTGCTGTGAGCTATGATTTCATAGCACTCTACCCAGGGCTCTGTCTCAAATAAAAAAGAAAATACCTCGTAGTAACTTCTGTGTAGCTTTTTTCCCTTTATTTTTTGGGACAAACCCTTGGAACTTATAGGTTTAAACTCTATCCCTGAGGGAAGTGTTTTATATAAGGAATCAAGGATGAAGAGACCAGGGGCCTTGGAGAGGAAGTTAGATTGAGCTCAGGATGACTCATTACATTAAGCTGGCAAACTTGCTCTTTCTACTTAAATATACTTTGAGACTCCTTACCTTGTAACAGTAAAATTAGCAGATTCCAGAAAGCAGAGCAAGAGCAGTATTCTGAGGAGTCATCACAGGGGACAAGGGAACAGAAAGAAGAAACGCTCAAGACAGGCTCCCCTTCCTTTTGGTTGTGTGTACTCCTAGTGCATGTGGGAAGCCTTTTTTGTTTGAAGGAGTTTGGGATTTTTTTCCTTTCCCTTCCCCCTTCCTCTCCCTATCCTTTCCTTCTCTGAGAAAAGAAAATATCTTTATTAACCATTTATCAAATGGTTATTGGGACAGGAAAAGTTCAAAGGCAAAAGACCTACTATTTTATTCCTTTCTTTTGGCATTCAATTATTGATTCTGTCTCATATCTAGTTGATTTCATACTTGCCTTATGTCTCCTATTTGTGTGGAAGGTCTTAGAGGATAGAGACTGTATCTTACTCATTTTATCACCTTTCTTAGCTATAGGTCTACATGCTTTTTGGTTCTGACTGAGACTTTATGAAATGAGGTTGCTATATCAACGAATGCAGAATTTATTTTCTTTGTGTCTCTTGCCTCTTCTTTACCACCCCATATAATCTCATATATCCGATACCCTGGTCCATTTTTAATTTATAGGGATGCTGTTCGGATATTTCATCAATGGTAAAAGAAGCTCAAGAGAAAGTGATCCAAATTGTACAACAAGCCATAAAGCATGTGGGACAGTTAGCAGTTCTGAAAGAGAGCAAGCTACATTTTCTGGAAAACAGTAACAATAAAGCTGCCAGCATCCAGGTAATTTGAAACTAACATTTCAAAGACTTTGTCTGAGGGAACATTAGACTTCTGATAATAGTACAATATCCCTAAACATGATAAACAAGTTCTTTTTATTTTTCAAAAGAACCTGTACTATTAATAGTTTGGCAATAAGATTTAAAACCGTTTCAGTCAAGTTGGTTAAGTGTAATATCTGATTTTGCAGACTTTTAATCTTAGCTTGATGATAACCATCTATTGTGAAGGATTTTCTTAGCCAATTAACACATAAAAAACTATAATTCTAGGGAATGTATATTTGCTTATTTTAATTATTTATGCTATTGAAAACATGGTATTATATTGGACTGTTACTGTATTCCATATAACAGTTACTGTATCCTGCCTAAGGTGGTAAACATTATATGTTACATTTGGAGAACTGTAGATTTGCTCATTTATTTCCTAATAGACTTCTTATTCCAGCTTTAGTTGAATTTAATAAACTTAGAATATAGTACAGTTCTAAAATTAGCAGAAAATATCACTTAATTACTCGATAATTAAAAAAACTTATAAAGCCCAAATTTACTGGTTAATGCTAAAATGCTTTTTTCTAGGAAGAACTCATGGGTGCTATTTGTGATGGTATAGGCTTAGGAATGAAGATCCTATTAGATTCTGGGCTAGAAAAAACAAAAGAACTTCAGCATGAACTCTTAAGTCAGTGTACACAAAATGAGGTAAGATGGATAAAAGAATATTCTGTATAGTACCAGACAATATGTAAAGTTGAATTTTAAAAATATTTTAACATTGTGATATCTTGCCAAGTTATTCTTGAGTTACAACAGCATCTGTTGTTAGTAATATTTTGCTAGATTGTAGCACAGCTATTTTCAAGGAGACTTTAGTCTGTAGACAAACTCCTAAGCAGAGAGCAGAGTGTGCCAGTGACACCTAGTGTTCATTTTCTGCTTGTCTTTTTCTTCCTTACCTTTGTTTAGGTCTCTTTTTTGCTTTATAATGGAAGCTAACATTTATTGATCCAGTAACTTAAACTATTATATGTACTTTTTTGAGACAGAGTCTCACTTTGTCACCTTCCGTAGAGTGCTTTGGAGTCACAGCTCACAGCAACCTCAAACTTTTGGGATCAAGAGATCCTCCTGCTTCAGCCTCCCAAATAGCTGGGACCACAGACACCTGCCACAATGCCCGGCTATTTTTATTTTATTTTTGAGACAGAGTCTCACTTATTTGTCCTTGGTAGAGTGCTGTGGCAGTACAGCTCACAGCAACCTCAAATTCCTGGGCTCAAACAATCTCCTTGCTTCAGCCTCATGAGTAGCTGGGACTATAAGCACCTGCCACAGTGCCTGGCATTTTATAGAGATGGGGTCTTGCTCTTGCTCAGACTGGTCTCAAACTCCTGAGCTCAAGTAATTCACCCACCTGGGCGTCCCAGAATGCTAGGATTATAGGCGTGAGTCACCACTTGGGACTAAAACTGTTTCCCTAGGGACCTTCACATCAGCTATTTCACATCAAGAATTTCAGGCAATGAAGATTTCAGTGACTTCCTAAAATATGCTTCCTTCTCTCCTCTAGCTAACATTAAAGCATGGAACCAATGCTGTCTTAGGCATAGTACGTAGTACCTTAGGAAAGGTCTGGGTTTTGATATTAGGACAACCGTGTTTGATACCTGACTCTATCACTTTCTGCTTATAGTCACTTAATTTTCTGACCCTGTTTCTTCATCTGTCACATGTAATAATGCCTTCAACACAGGTTGTAATCTATTTATTTATTGGCATTTTCTGTGACAGTTACTGGGCCAGATATTTTACATATAAGGGTGGTGAACCTCATACTTTTCAGCATAGGAATTAGAAACTCAGCTGGTGTACCTTGTCCAGTTACTAAACTGTGAGGCTGTAGCCAGGATTTTATATTCTGCCTGGCTCTAAAACTCATCATGCCCACAAATAAGTTTTATGACTTATCATTCATGTATTAATTTTCTTTATTGAAAATTACTACTAGTGAAGTAGGGAATAGAAAGATAGAAGTTCATATCTTAGAGGTTCAACTTCTGAGACTTGTCTCTTCCAGAATCTTATTGTAACAACTTATTATTAAAACCATTCCTGTCCACTATCTAGTTTCTCATGCTGGAGTCAGGTGTCTGGGACAGAGCTGGATATTTAGGGTCCTGAGATCTTACCTTCGGGATGTCAACTTGTTTACATACCTATTAATTGCTCTAGAAAAGTAGATCATAAAGGACTATTAGCTTCTACCCCACTGGGTGGTCGTTTTCAGGAAGGCATGGAGTACGCAAGATTTTTTTTTTCCTTTTTAAAGAAATCTTAGCAGAAATGTACTTTTAGCTCATCTTAGTTGAGTGGTAACTATGTAAGCCACGGGGGCTCTCCATCCCTTTCCTCATACAGTGGGTCTATATAGATTTCTTTCTTTTTTTTAAAATTAATTAATTAATTTGTTTATTAAATCATATTTGTACACATTAATACTATCATGGTATACAGTGTGTTGTTTCCATATACAATTTGAAATACTTTCATCCAATTGGCCAACATAGCTATCATGTCATTCTCATAATTGTTGTGTTAAGACATTTATATTCGACATTTAGAAAGATTCACATGTACCTTCACAGGATAAATCATAGGCGTGATCTTTTATACGGAATCAGAAAAACCTCAAGTAGCCAAGACATTACTCAGGATCAAAAACAAAGCAGGAGGAATCACGCTACCAGATATCAGACTATACTATAAATCCATTGTGATCAAAACAGCATGGTACTGGCACAAAATAGATTTATTTCTGCCCAGACAAACTCTATCTCAGAACTGGGGAAAAAATATTGAATATTACACTGTTCTCCTACTTCCTGTGTAGCCTTGAGTAATTTATATAAGCTTCAGTTATTCCATTTTAAAAATAGGGATGATCAGCAGGGTGAGGTGGCTCACACCTGTAATCCTAGCACTCTGGGAGGCTGAGACAGGCAAATTGCTTGAGCTTAGGAGTTCGTGACCAACTTGAGCAAAAGCGAAACCCCGTCTCTACTAAAAATAGAAAAAACTGAGGCAAGAGGCTCACTTGAGCCTAAGAGTTGTAGGTTGCTGCGAGGTATAATGTCACAGCACTCTACTCAGGGTGACAGCTTGAGACTCTTTCCCCCCCCCCCAAAAAAGGGGAGGGATGATCAGCTGGGCTTGGTGGCTTACACCTGTAATCCTAGCACTTCGGGGGGGCCAAGGCAGGAGGATCGCTTGAGCTTAGGAGTTTGAGACCAGCCTAAGCAAAAGTAAGACCTCATCTCTACTAAAAATAGAAAAACTAGCCAGGCGTTGTGGTAGATGCCTATAGTCTCAGCTCTGTGGCAGGCTGAGAAAGGAAGATTGCTTAAATCCAGGAGTCTGAGGTTGCTGCTGTGAACTGGGTGATGGTAGGGCACTTTACTCACAGCAATAGAGTGAGACTCAGTCTCAAAAAAAAAAAAAAAAAAAAAAAAAAACAAGAAAGAAAGAAAAGGAAGAGAAAAAGAAATAAAATATATGAAAATGTTAAAAAAAGTGCCTGGCAAATCTTAAGTTACTCTTCTTGCTTGTATATGTCATTTCCTCTGTATACACCTGTTTCTCTCACTGTGTGTATGTGTGTGTGTTTATTTGTTTGAGGACAAGTCTCACTCTATTGCCCAGCCTAGAGAGTTCTGTGCTGTCCAGCCTAGCTCCCAGCAACCCTGAACTCTTGCTTCAGCCTCCTGAGTTGGAGGGACTACAGGCACCTGCCACCACACCCAGCTAGTTTTTCTATTTTTAGTAGAGACAGGGTCTTGCTCTTGCTCAGGCTGGTCTCAAACTCCTGAGCTTCAGCAGTCCTCCCGCCTTGGCCTCCCAGAGTGCTAGGATTACAGGTCTGAGCCACCCCACCGCATGTGGCCTGCTCGTTTTAAAACATAAAAACACATTCAGAAGGAGCTTATAGTGTCACTGAATCAAGTTTTGAGGTGTAATCCTGTTCCAGTAGACATGAGGCTGATTTTGGCTGTATAATGCAGCTTTGAAGCGAGGGGCATGTTGGACTGTTAGAGCTCATTCAAACCACTCCTGACATATCACTTTTGGTTTTGCCCAAGAGCAGCACTGTTTATCACTAAACACTTGATTACTATTTGCAAAGTGGTATCGTTTTTGCAGTCTTTCACTATTGCAAAGAATTTCTGCTGGCTATAAGTGCAAAGGGGTGTGATGTTAATTAATGAAAAGTGGAGATGAAATAATGTATGTGAATTTGCTTAGTACGCTGTTGAAGAAGGTGCAGATGTCAGCTTTGGTATTGTTTTGAGGAAATAAACAGCAATAGGTCAGGCCCATCCAGTATATAATTTCCACTATCTCTATCTTCTTGCAGAGCTCTAACCTCCTTCCTTTCATTTTCTTTATATACTATGCCAAAGCCATACTTTGTTATTCATGGTTATTTAACTTTTAGCTTATCATTTTATTTTTAGTTAAAACTCATATAAGAACCTACAGGAAAAAAAATATCCAAAGAAAGAGAAAATAGGCTCAAATGCAAGTTACAATTTTAAAGCTGGAGTCAGGGGGGAAAGAATTTGATTGTTCCTTTTTTATCAAACAGCATATGTGAGTTTGACCTAGGGGGCAAGTTTTATGGGTAAATCCAACTGAATAAGCAGAATCCCCTTGCAGAAATTAAGCCAAAAAGTACCATAGGGGGCAGCATTCAACAGTATAAAAACAGAGTCTTCGGATTTAAACTCAGGTTTCCACCCTGGTTCTGAATCTTAGGTGTTGAGACCTAGAATCTGTTCTTTCATTTGCAGAATGAGGGCAGTACCCCTTTCAACATAAGACTGTAATTGAGAATCAAACAGTAAAACATTTGTTAAGTTCTAATATATAACATTAGCTTGATAACTTACTTACCTCACCGCCTTCCAAGGGAAGTTTTAGAAATTTCATTTCAATAAATATTAAATATAAGATAGATGTTGTCATTAGAGTAAATGACCCTCTTGTTATTTACTATAATGTATAAATCAGTGTGTAATTTATTTTGAAAGAAATTCTACTTATATAATTTAGATTCTCTTGAGCTATTTAATTGCAAAAATAGAACTCTGGTTTTCTGGCTTCTAGACTAGAACTTTTTAAAAATCCGGTTCCATATAATAAAATATTTTAACATTTTCTATAGGTTACCAAACAGATGAAAGCTAATGCCATGGGATTGATAAGATCTCTTGAAAACATCTTTGCTGAATGGAAAATAGTAAGAGAAGCTTGAAGTTGTTTTTGGTTAATTTTGTTTAGTGTATTTTATCAGTTCACTTGGTTCAAGTGTAGATATTTTCGTTTTCATCCTTTGTGCATGTTTAATTGAAACATGCATAATAGCTCTTTACCTATTTCCTCTTGGATATCATAACTTACCAGTTTTTATAATGGATGAGGAATTGCATAAAACTTGATTCATATTAACATACTTGTTTCTTGCTGCTACTGGCTTAGTCACTGTAGGTTAAAAATCTGTGTTTAAATCTGTGTTTAATAATCTGCTCAAAGATTTTAAATTATAAGTGAGTTAGACAAATTATAATATTCCTATGTCATAGGTAAATAGAAAAATACACACTAAGTCTATAATGGACGTGTTTAAAAAAGAGTAATTACTATGGCTTGAAAACTTTTTTTTTTAAATAAGTGAAGTAAATAAAAGATGTTATAAAGCTGAACTCTTAAAAATTAAATAAATTTATCTTCTGTGGTATTAGGTAATAAGTGGTACTATTTCTTTATTCTCGTGTAATAGGACGATAAGACTTTGATTGCAAATTAATTGAAAATTCTTATTTCTTTTGAAAAACAGTAATAATTATATTTTACTTTAGTCTGGCTTATAGAAATAGAGTTAAGTAATAGTGAGGAAATTAAACTCTATTAAAGATAAGATTCTGGCAATTGAAATCATATTGACTGAACCTCACTATGATGTAAGCTGTTATGTATTTTCAAAAATTATTAACTTTTTTTCCTTTTTAAAAATCAACTTTATCTTTACAGAAAAGTTGCAGAACTCAAATGGAAGAAGAAAATTCTGGATACCAAGATTTCAAGAAGATGATTAATCTTGCTCCAGAATTCTTCAAGTTAAAACATTGCTTAGAGCAAACTATTCAAATTATTATGTCTTCACTGAGAGGTATGTGCTCTAAATGGAATTAGTAAACAGAATTTTGTAATTTAAAGCAGCAGTCCTCAACATTTTTGGCACCAGGGACCAGTTTCGTGGAAGACAGTTTTTCCACACACTGGGGGATGGGAAGGGTGGTTTTAGGATGATTCACGTGCATTACATTTACTGTGAATCCTCAGGTATTAGGTTCTCAAAAGGAGTGTGAAACCTGGATCCCTCGCACGCGTGGTTTATAGCAGGGTTCCCACTCCTCTGAGAATCTAATGCCACTGCTCATCTGACAGGAGGCAGAGCTCAGGTGGTGATACAAATGATGGGGAGTGGACATGAGTGCAGATGCAGCTTTGCTCACTCTCCTGCCACTCACCTCCTGCTGTGCAGCCTGGTTCCTAACAGGCCATGGCTGACCAGTACCAATCCAAAACCCAGGGGTTGGGGACCACAGATTTAAGGAATCTTAGACATTCTTTTTTTTTTTTTTTTTTTTTTTTTGCAGTTTTGTCTGGGGCTGGGCTTGAACCCACCTCCCCCACCCCCCACCATTATCCCCCCACCCTGGTATATGGGGCCAGCACCCTACTCCTTGAGCCACAGGTGCTGCCCAGCCTGTTCTGTTTTTAGTCATTAACTAAAGCCTATCTAATGCTACTTCATCGATATTAATTACTAATACAGGAACTTGTATCATCAAATTCCCACTTAATATTTATGCCTATATAGTTAGATCCTAATAAACCAGATACTTATCTAGCAGATAAGCATTTTGGTTGACTAAATCTTACATAGTTTGGAATTGTCTTGATAGGGTCATTTTGACTAAAAAGATATCTAGAGTCATATAAAAGTAATACATACCTGATAAAAACTTAAAAGATTAACTTTGCCTTTTTCCTCTTACATAGGATACAACAATGATGTAAATCTTCTCAAGAATAGTGTTGAAAGTATCTGCAACTTGGCCAGTGATTTTCACGGTGACTTCAGTGTGCCCTGTACTCCCGTTGACAGCTGTGAGAACAAAGTACCTCCGATTGGCCACAGGGAGCTGGAATCAGTAGCTAAGTCACTCCTCTTATATTTTGAATCTGAGGAAAGACCCAATTTGTTGAAACCCTGGGAAACTTGTGATCAGAATCCCACAGAAAAAGAACAACAATCAAAACCAAGCAGGACTGACTGCAGTAAGAAAAAAGGGGTACCAAAGCGTGTCTATGAACTGCATGGCTCATCGGCAACAGTGACCTCAGAGGGATACACACCCTGTAGGATTCAGTGGGTGTGAATATCGATGCATAAAAGAACACTTGGTAGGCAGTGTTCCCTGTGCAGGAGAATATAACAAGAAATCAGCATAAATATTTCAAAGAAGTCTATGCCTTTGGTTTGAAGGGCCTTACATTGAGTATGGACAATATAAGTGTTATGGAATTTTGGTTTCAAAGTGCCTGCCCATGCATGTAGAAGTTTCATAGCAGATAATTTTAAAGGGGATATTTGCCACATTAGAACATTAAGGCAACAGAATAAAATTAGGAATTCAGGACCAAGCGAATGGTCATGTCTCTAGATTCATATTGCCTTAAATTTTACATTTTTTAAGAAAGTTTTTTAATGTTTATATTTAGCATTGATATGCTACCTCTGATTGGTTCCTTAGTCTGTTTGTAAATGGTTATTTTCTCATGAATAGAAACCTGAACAATTAGTTACCTTTCTGCTTGTGCCTTCTCTCCTCTACAAATAGCCAGGACCAGGTTTATGGTGAATTTTCTATATAAATTTAACTAGGATAACTGATCTGGTACTGTTAAAGCTAAAATTCTTTTCTCAAAGGATTAGCTGGTTGCCATTTTGAATAATATGTTCAAGATTGTAGTTTCCTGTTTGTTTCCAATTTATAAGTAGCTACCTAAACATAATATAAGTTTATCCTTATTATATGGCTTACTGGCAGAATAGTTTACTATGTTATCTATGTTCCGTAATGGGGACTGTATGAATATAATTTAAAACTAATTAAATGTTGCCAGAGTCACACTCAACTATTGGATGGGGTTGGGAGATTACAGGCCAGACCTTTTCTAGATGACGCTTGTTTTGTTAAGGGCATAATGAAAGAGTTTGTGTATGATTTGATGAAGATCAAAGATCCTTATATTTCACAGCTTTAAAAAACTTTATCTCTGTGATCAAGTAATAAAGACAACATTCTACTAGTGGGATCTTATATTAAGGAAGCAGTTTGACATTTTGACCTCAAGAATACATATAATTGGAAAGATACTTAGCAACTTTGCTTGGGTAAGCAAGTTCCCGGAGAATAATCTTTTTTAATGACCTGATCCTTTCTTTTGACCCTTTCACTTGCGAATACCACCTGTACATTTGGCATAACTGGTTGAAATTGGTTGTTAATCCCATGAATAAATCTGATAATCTTGTTAGGGAGAGAGGTTGTAAATAAATGCTGGTCATTGTAGTCAGAACAATATTAGTGAACTATGTGTCGTGTTTTTAGGTGCTTTAAAATGGTGCTTTCATTTTCTTCTCTTTTTTTTTGGCATTTGAGCTTGAATTCTTTTTGGAGTTCCATATATATTTTTAGTACTCAATGCTCTGGCAAGTAGCACTTTTTATATCAAGTTTGATGATGACAGGTAGATGTACATATGGAGATTTTTCTTGAAGGTTGTACTTTGAAGAACTCCATAACGTATCTGTATGGTAGTTTTCATCTGAATATTCAGTATTTAATCTTTAGTTTTTGCTTTCTAAACTCATGGCTTCGTTGGTCAAAAACTTCTTAGGGTCCTTGTAACATTTTGTGTATATATATATATATTTATATTAAATAAATTGTTATACTGTATTTGAATGAATGCTGAAAAAATATTTGCAATTGGAATCATGTGAAATATTATAAAAAGAATACCTTTAATAAATCTTTTCAACTTTAGAACTGTCTCTGGGTCTAAGGTTTTTTATTTTGTTGATTTTCTTTGCTTACTTTACTCTCGTTTCAAAATTGTTGTGATAGCTCTGTCTTGATAATAACTATCCTAGTACTGCAAATGAAATAATTAGGCAACACCGGCCGGGTGCGGAGGCTCACGCCTGTAATCCTAGCAGGTCTGGGAGGCCTAGGCACTTGGATTGCCCTCAGGGCACCTGTAGTCCCAGCTACTTGGGAAGCTGAGGCAAGAGAACTGCTTGAACCCAAAAAGTTTGAGGTTGCTGTGAGCTATGACACCACGGTAAAAAAAATAATAATAATAATTAGGAAACACTAAACAAATATTAATATTGTTATGACAAATACTTAGGTTTTTTTCTTTTTTTTTTGACCAGAGCCGTGTTTGAACTCGCCACCTCCAGTATGTGGGGCCGGTGCCCCACTCCTTTGAGCCACAGGCACCGCCCTAGTTTTTTTTTTAACATTTTTCTGCCTCTCTTTAATTGATTTTGCCTAGAATAGATTTATCCCCATGTGTCACATGAAAAGAGCATGAGCTTTGGAGTTTGACCTATTTTTCACACATCTGGAGTGTGAATTGCAGCTAGGCGGCTTAGTAACTACGTGACCTTAGACAATTCCTTACTGTCTTTATGCCCATTTCTTCATCTGCAGAAAGAAAAGTAATACCTACCTCATGGACTATCTATATAAACATTTAATATGAGAACAATGTTGGAACAACTTACTGGCAGGTCTGTTAGTAAATGTTAGTGTCCTTCTTTTCATTACCAGCAACAAAGCCCTTGCTATCTCTACAAACTCACACTCAGTGCAAGCATACGCCACTTATAACATTCTGCCGATGCAGTACCAAATTGTACCGCATTCCTTCAAACGTGGCATGTTTGAAAATATATCTGCCATCATTTTGTTCCATGCTAGTAAACTGGTAGTAAAGATGAGATCTTAGTGCCCGTATGTAAGGAATAATATGAGTGTGTCCATCAGAAAGTTTTTAGCAAAAACTTATTTTATCTAGTTAGCTAACTAGCATACTTGTTAGGTAGGACCTAACTTTGTGCCAGTAAGCATTTTGAGGTTTTGCCTAAATATGGAAAATAAGAATACACTCACTGCAGATGAGGGGGAAAGATACCGATAGTTTGATTCAGTTAAAAGAAGGATGATGTGCCAGCTTCTGTGTATGATTCTTACATCAGGTAAGCGTCTTCTGGATTTTGCAAGTTAACAATCATTGCATGCTATAATCAAGACTTGAAATTTTTAAAAAAGTCTTTCTTCCTGTAAGCAATATTAGTTTATGGAACTTTTAGATGGGGAGTATGGGCATTTAATTTGTTTAAATATCATCTGATAGCTAGGTTCATCCACTCATTCCAACAATTATTTACTTAATGCCAGATATGCTTTTGGTGCTAAGTCATAGAAATCTGAAAAAGATTAGATTGCCTCATATTATGGACTTTTGAAAGCCCAGCCTATTCTATTGCTAGTTGTTCTTTAATGCAGAAGGCCTCTAACCACACTAAAGTTGAACATACAGAACTATCAGAGCCTTGCTGATTTATTCAAGACAGAAGTTAGCGGTAAACTTTTGATTAAGCAAATGGCATCTGGAGACTCTGCAGCTTTTGGCCGTGGCTGGGTTTGAACCTGCCACCAGTGGCATATGAGGCCGGTGCCTTACTCCTTTGAACCACAGGCACTGCGCCATCTGGAGACTCTGTGTATTTCCTATTGCTCAGTGGCACTGAGCTCAGAGAATTATAGATTTTTAAGAATTTAGTAGCTATTCTGAGGAAATACACAGGCTTTTCTGAGACTAAATCATGCTTTTGTTTCTCTGGCTAATATTTAGTGTAAACCTCTAAATGTGTCTAGATATCAAGCATCTGCACTTTCGGGGACCTCATTTTCAAGATGCACAGATTGAACCATCCACTAAGAAGACAGGGAATTTCTAAAATTTTGAAAATGGATATTGCGTCCAACAGTTTCTTCCTCTTTTTAAAAAAAATTTATTATGTTTTATTTACTAGGGTGTAATTGATGAACAAATATAGCTGAGGTGTACCATGTGACAATTTGGTATACACTGTGAAACAATTACCACCATCAAGTTAACTAACATCCATCACCGTATATATGAGGTCTGACAATTAAGTTTGTGAACTCATCCTAGAAAAAGATATTCATTGCTGAATATCAGTGTGGTCGCCTTTGAAATACTCACCTCAGGAAGCTATGCATCAATGCCAGTGCCTAGTCCATCCTTTAAAGCAATTTTGGAGCTCTCTTTTTGCAATGGCCATCAGCGCTATCATTGTATTACCCTTGAGGTCCTGGATGCCGTCAAAATGCCTTCCTTTCAATATTTCCTTTATCTTCAGGTAAAGAAAAAGTCATTTGGAGCCAGATCAGGTGAGTAGGGAGGGTTTTCCAATACAGTTATTTGTTTACTGGCTAAAAGCTTCCTCACAGTGCTACGTGAGCTGGTGCATTGTCATGATGCAAGAGCCATGAGTTATTCACCAAGATTTCCAGTTTACTTGGTCTGCTATGCTTCTCACAGTCAGCCGATGATTTTGACACACAATTTGGCTAATTTTTGCAATGTTTTTGTTAGTTCTGCTCATTACTGGCCACCCTAATCTCTTCGTCAATAACCCTTCCTCTCCCCTCATAAAAATGTTTAATCCATTTGCACACTGCACATTGACATTTACCTTCTGGCAAATAATCACAGCTCACACTTCTGTGAGCTTACACTGTAATTTACTGAGTATTTACACTGGGCTTAGTGTATTACAAATGTAATCTCATTTAATGTTCACAACATGTTCAAAATAACACATAATGCACCATTTTACAGATTAAAAAAATTAGGCTCAGAGATGTTAAATGACTAGCGCAAGATTACACAGCTGGAGGAGACCTGAGGATCCGTCTTTTGGTTTGTTGAGACCAAACACTGCACTTTTTGCCTCTTACATTGCTACAGTTCATTATTTGTATTTATGTCCAAGTCTGGCTCCTGCCCCTTCTGTTACTTGTAGAAGGAAGAATATCGCTTCGTAGACTCCTTAGGATGGCACGGGTGTCTAGTACTAGTCTGAAAATTTTGCCTATTCAGAGACAATTCCTTTCTCATTCTCTCAGTTTCCGTGTCTTCCCTAACTACTTAGGATATCACATCCTTGGATTATCCTGAGGCTGAGGGATTCAGAAATATGAAGACCATTTCCCATTGCCAAGTTTACTTCGACCCACAATATGTAACCAGAAACTTGTCAAACACTTAAACCCTCAGCGAATAATCCACGCAACTTAGATTATGGGAAATTCCATCTGAAGTAAAATAAAATGTG